GTGCGCAATTGACATTCTTTATTATAACTTAAATATATAAAATACACTTAACTTAATATTAACACTTGAATATATAAAATGGTTTATATATTTAAGTTGTAATAAAGATTGTCAATTGCGCACCGTAAACAGCGCTGATTCTCATTTGCCCATTTACCACATCATATTTAATACCGAGAATCACTTCATTAATATTTATTTAATTTATTTCTCACTTTTTAGCCACTACTTTGAAAAAATACTTTTGTCTCTTTAAAATTTGAAGAATATATGGAATATGTACAAAAGATGGTGGATCGATAACTTCCTAAATTTGAAGTCCATTTCTTCACCAGCAAAAAATTCAATTTTCCTTTTACTTATCTCGGGACATATGTTTCGTAATCAAATCCCGTATATTTTCCGAGGCATTTTATACAATAAGTCGAATTCTTAGCACATGTGTAATAAATTATGTTTTCTCATCGCATTAAAGAATAAATATGAAGGTCCATTTTGCAAAGTTCGATTACGTTAGATCGATTGTGCGTTTCTATTTGATTGCACACATTTAATTTATTTATAATTAATCCTCCTTTCACGCAGCACGGAGCACGCAATTAAGAAGTCTTTGTTAAAGTTAATACGTTTTATCTTATCGCATTACGGTTGACACTTTACGCTTCGTTATTTCTGCTCGTTAACGACGTTAATTGAGCGAACGCTGATGCTTATATCAGATTCAAATCGCTAGCTATTTCCTAATACTATTTTACGATTAACTTTGTTACATACACGACATGAGAGTCTTGTGAAGACTAGGGAAATTAAGCATCGATAGAAATCCGTTTTCACGGAATTAAACGCCTAAAATTTGAAATCAGGAGACGTTGTCTTAACTTCTAAGTTATTTAACGAAGGATATAATTAAATATTGAATATAAAACACAAAGAAATTTCACTTCAATATTTTAATTCCATATAAAGGAAGGTCTTCCTTTATTTGATTCGCCTCTGGAACTAAAATGGATTAAACTAAATATATAACAATTTTGAAGACCGTTTCTTCATTCACACACTTTTATGAGATACATTATATCCTCCTAGATTCTTTTATTTTTAACAGGAAATATATTTGTATTCTCATTCTTCTCTATATCGTATAAAAAGCTTATCAAAAAGTCGCACTTGTGAATTTGTAGAAAAGAGGACGGATTCTGCTCAACGACTCTCGGTGTACGTATGTATGTTTGTGACAAAAAAAAGACGCTTATCAAACATATCACTAGACTACTCAAATATAGCGAACAAATCGACGCGTTGTCTACAAAGCGAACTAAAGTATATTAAAAAAATTCTTCTCCAACGGTATAAAAATGCTACCTCGCAAAATTCGTAAAAGTTATTCTCGAAACTCTGAGATTTTATAAAAGCCGCCTAAATTGTATAGCGTTCTACATTATCGTGGATAAGGCAGTTAAATCGTCGTCTCTTTATCGGAGAATATTTTCAGAATGGACTTGTAATCTCGCTAATGCTTTCGAAATCGCAAACTAAAGTGTACACTTCTCCTCGGAGAACATCTCCGTAACATTCTTGGCCTACGAAAAATCTTCTTAAAATAAAAAAAGTTACAGTGTATTCTTTAATAAATATAAACTTTTGTCCATAGAATATCTTTTTGCGGTAATATTTTCTTCTTTGTTTCGGTTTCGAATATCAAAATACAATACGATGGCGATGACGCTCTTGGAGAATACGATGTCACGTTTCACAACGCAAGTCTTCTGACGCCGCATTCACAACAGAATTTAGCGGTTTCCGGAAATCGCTGGCCGCACTCATGGCAGAACTTGGACATCTTGCACTTGGTTATTGTTTGAGTTGGCGATGACCTGTTCCTGGGCACGTCCTCGTCAAGGCGATCGATCACGTCGTTGGCGCTGCGTCCATGGTGCGAATATTTGCGATTTAAACTAGGAAGTACAAATCGAATTGAGCTTGAAGCACGCGAGAATGCACGGGGGGGAACGCAAATATGAATGGGTGATGATTAAAAATTATAATCTTTAATCGACAATGAAAAATAAAATTTCTAGACTTGTAAAAATTAAATTCATATTTTTTAAATATCATATTTCACTAAATCAAATTTTTTTATATATTAAATACAAGATTAATTTAAAATAAAAATTAATAAACATAAACAATAAATTGATAAATAGCTAGCTTTTGTAAGAAAATAAAAATTAAAAAACATATAGCATTAATAAATCTAATTTTTGCAAAAATATTAAAGTTCTTTTGCAGTAGTTGTTTTGCTGCCCTTCTATTAATTTAATTATTAATTATTATTAATTTTAATTGATTGATGAAATTGAATAATGATAAACGGTCACTTTAAAGACCAACCTGCTGTAGGCGGAGTCGTTGCTGAGCTTGTTGTGATCCTGCGGTTTGTAGCTGTCGGGCGAGGACAGTTCCTCATCACTAATCAGGCCATTTCGCTGTCTATCGCCACCGGGACTGGACAGGTCAAAGGACTCATTATTAAGGAGGGATCTCAACCCGGGGAACGCGTCCTCCTCGAAGGACGTCAGCAATTCGTCGAACATCGAGTTCGACCGCTTGACGTCCAGCTCTGAGGACGAGACGATCGAGTTGAGACTGAGGTTGCTGCCGGACAGGGATGAATAGTTGTTGTTCCTTTGATTAAGATTCTGGTCCGACGATCTCCGAGCCTCAGGGATCTTGGAACCCTGAGTCTTCCTCGTGTCACCCGAGATCTTCCTGTCAGGACCCGAGTTGATTCTGGGCGCGGACGAGGCTCGAATTGAACTAGACCGATTAATCAACGGTTTTACATTCTTCAACGGATCTTTCTCGAAGATTTTGCGCGGTCTGTCGGCACTGGCGACAACGCCACGACGCTCGTCGACACCCAGCGCCTTTGACTTATCGATAATAACTCGTCTGCCTAATTCCCTGACAGGTTTTGGATTTGCGGAATTTGTCGTGTCTTTATCCGTGAGATCGGGCAGGAAGATCTCACGCGAGATCGAGTTGGTCTCGGTGGAGTCGCTCGAGAAATTTGACATGAGATCGTCGAACTCGCTGGGTGGTGCTATAAGGGACGACCTTTTGTCGGAGGGAGGATATTTTACAAAGGCGGAGGAGTGTGAGAGAGGATAAAGGGTGTCGCGAGTCTGTTGAATTTTGGGACTCCCCATCATAGACTGATCGCTCGTGTCTGACAACAGGTCATTCATCTGCTGTTCGGCCAGCAGAAAGGGATCGTAGTCCTTGCTCGTACCACTGAAATTAGAATTGATCGGTATAATTTTTTTATCTTATTCTTTGTCATGGATTGTCTCACACAAAACAGCGAATGAACATAATACAATGTGCGTGACAACGAGGTGTGTTTTGCCTTAGGTGTTCTGCAGGCCGTTCTGTAAGCCGTAAACGCGTGCCAATCAATTTCCTGGACAAACATTTACATTTACTGGCGCATGCAAATTCGGCGCACGTGATGCAACATGATCCAATCTGCTTGCTGAGTATAAATTATTCTCCACAATTTAGAATCAATTTCTTTTAATAGTAATTTGACAAGCCACAAAAATAAACGTTTATGTTTTAATTTGAAATGGGTATTTTTACGTAACAAAAATCTAAATCGAAAATTAATTCGATCGAAATATCAAATGTCGATAAAAAGTTGATGAAAAATAATAATTTAAAGCAATTTTTAGTAAGAAAAGATTTCTAAATTCTGTAAGACATATATTTTCTATATCAATCCTAATTTCTTCTACGTAACGTTCTGAACTAGATTGTGGATAACCAGCAATTAGCACCACCAATAAGATAAAATAATCTGTATTGTATTTGCCATGTCCCTCTATTCTCACTGGTTCCACATCCTGAAACTTACGTTCTAGCCTTAAGCACGAGATTAAAGTCCGGCCTTCTGCGCACATAATTGCACCAGGCAGGACGTGTCGTCGGTTCAATTTTCCTACAATATTATTGGCACATTAACTACCTAACTACTGCGAGAATATAAAAAAGTATATAGTAAGAGAAATAAGAATCAAAGATTCTACTTTTTACCGTGCGATATAAATTTCTTTACCAATTAATCGCCATTAATCGCAATTTGCACAATACACTTATACTGATTAAATATTATAATATAATTTGTAACCAATAATGCAAAATGCCAATTGATAACTAAATTACGCACTACTAAACCTATATTAATTAAATTAAATACTCTAATATTCTACAAGTGATATTAATACATGAAAAAAATATTTTTGACAAAGACAATTTTTTTCTACTTAACAATAGTTTTTTTCTACTTTCTACTAATTTCTACCTTCGATTGATCAAGGACGGCTTCAGGACTGGAGGGAGGATGCGGATTCTAGGATTTTTCTTAGCGAGCTTGTGTTCCGCGTGATATGCAGGATCGAGATCGATCAGTCTGTTCCGCGAGATCTTGGAAACCCGCTCCCAATACGATCTTTCAGAATATTTTTTTGTTCCCGCCGAATTGCCCTTTATATTAGGTAAACCCTTAGACCCTCTACTTCGTGCGTTCGGTCTGATTATTTCTATGGTTCTTTCTCGCTCGTAAGAGCAACTCGTTTCAGGCTGTCCGATGCTCGCGAGCTCGACGAATTCGATCGAAGATATCAGAGAATCGGTGCTGCCACGAAGGAGATTCATACTTTCCCTAATCCTGTGCTTCATTGCCACAGGATTCACCGACCGCTCTCGTGCAGCTCTTCTATCTATGTCAGGAGCACATCTTGGAAAATTCATGCTCGCATTCAGGAAAATTTTGTCACCGCCACGTTGCGGTGGCTCCTCCTCCGCGTTGTCCATCAATGTGATTGATGACCCTAAATCATTAACGTCTCGCGCATCACATCGTTCTCCGACAGGCGCGGTGTTATCGCTGTCGTAATCAAATTCATTATCCACGTTCTTCTGGCGCAAACCTTCACCTGTCGTAATTTCCGTTTTAATGATTGAACGGCTGAGGAATCTCGATGATTTATCGTTCAAACAACAGCTACCCGAATACACGTTGAAACCTGCTTTTCCCTCTTTATTCTCGAGATTTTCTAAATTGTCAAAAGTGTAGCCTTCTTCTTGAAATTGTTTATTGTCTTTCATATGCAAAGGTAAATCGCTTGTAGATGCATTTAAATAATTATGAGCAGCAGGCTCTAAAATCTCTGAAAATAAGTGTGCTGCAGAATTTAATCTCCTCGAATTTCTTTCAGGCTTTTTATTAGGAGTACTGATCGAATCATTCTCGTATCTTTCTTTATCTATGTCAGTTTCTTCAGGATTTCTTATACAATCTTTTATTGAATTGACAAATCGACAAGATGCAGGAAATGATGTTTCTTTGATATTTTCTATTAGATTTAGTGAATTGCAATGGGTATTATTTTGACATAGTATTTCATTTTTAGAACTCAATTTACAATCTTGATTATTGTTATTATTTACTGATATATTATTTGTGTTAGATTGATTACACGTAAAATATACTATACTTTCTTTTAATTCAAATGAATCGTTGTAGCATATATCACTTTTACATTTGGGTATTTTCTTAGAATTCAGATAATCCTGATTATAATCAATAAAACTGTCTGAAAATATTGCACTATCTTTGTCATTAAAATAAAGTGTTCGATCTTGATGCTTTAAGTAAGAAGACCTATCTGACATAAAGTAATTATTATTGCGAGTGGGATCCATCTTTAAATCTTTAAAATAAGATTTTTTATATTTCTTCGATACATTATGTGCAGTTGGATACATGACGTCGAACAAAAAAGATTTAATTGGTTCATCAGGTTCAGATAAATTTTGTTGAATGTCTTCGTATTCTTTATATTTAGTACTTGCAATAATTCTCTTATTCATTGCTATCTCTCGATCTTTATTTTCTTTATTAATATTTAGTTTATCCGAGTCTGCAACATCTGCACCATTCATCTCAGTATCTCTTTTATTTTCAGTATTTATTTGCATTTTCTCAACGTTGCATTCTATAATTTTAGTGTCGTCACAACTTGCTTTTCGTTTATTCTCTTCGTTTCTATACTTATTTATACTTATTTCCTTCATTTCGCGTTGTATCACTTCGGTGTCTTCAATGTTTGTTTTTCGATTATCTTCGATATTTTCATAATTTATTTTTGGTTCCTTCGCTTTGTAATCCATCACTATAATCTCGCCGCTTTTCTTATCTTCTTTATTATTCTCTTTTAATTCTTCTTGTTCGATCTTAACTTCTTCGTTGTTTATTACAACTTCCCTTTCCAATTTCTCTTGGTCAAAATCGCAAATTTCGTCTTCTTTATCTTTCAAATAAAATTCCACGCGAGGACTGTGTTTAATTGGCTTCCACTTACTATGGAAAATTTCCGGCGATTCGATATCCTCCGAGTCTTTTATCAAGTACGTCTGATTCAGATTCTGAATATCGTCCAGCCATGTGATATTCTCAATCTTATCAACTTCACCATTCAATTCGTTATTTCGAGTAATGTCGCTCTCTGAGACGAACGAGTCTGTTTCTGTTACATTTCCGCTTATATTATGTTTCTCTCGATCACATTGTCGATCGAGATCGAGCAGCTGGAATTCCCGCGAGAAATTATCAGCAACAGGCTCGTCAGCTTGATTATCTTTCTTGCAGCCAATTTGTTTCCACGTCACTAATCGATCGTCCTTTTGCATTTTGTGTATTCTGCAAGGCTGCACAGTCACTCCCAGGGTCTTATCACTCACGGCGATATCATTGACTCTCGGACAGCCTTGACTCCTGATAGAAACCATATTCTTTTGCATTCTGGCGGAACAGGCTTCTCGTTGTTTTGCATCGTTGTTTTGAGTACGCTGGGAAATTGTTTCGTTTCGGTCATATTGCTTCCTGGATGACGGGACTGGCGATGCCATCTCATTAAAGAGCGAATGATCGGTGATCCTAGATTTTGCAGGAGGTACGGGAAAATGAAGAGGACGACGAGAGGATAGCGCGAGATGGAAGCGGCAGGACGTTGATGTCAGTACAGAATCATAATCTTCTGCTGGCCTGAGGAGATGGAAGCAGGATCAAGGATCATGCGCCTGATCATCAGTCATCAGGAGAAGGTTGTCGGTTGTCGTTAAATAAGAAATAATTTTAGGCTTGAAAATTATATTAGGAAGTATTTTTAAAATATCATCATTTTTTTATTAAACACTTCAAATATTTTTGTTGCAAAATCAAATTAGAATATTTTTATACGTTTGAATTATTACGATTATTTTTATAGAATATTATAATTAATCATAAAGTGCATTTAAGCAGCCTCATCCTCTTTCCTTCTCCTCATGGATATACTAGATCTAGCCTATATATTCTACGCTTATCTTTATAATCTACATAGTTTCGATTTTTCATCTTTTAAATATATATATACAAGAAAGTTGAACAAAATCTCACCTGTTCATACGATCGACAAGGCGCGACTTTATAGGTCCGGATGAGATAGGAGATTCCTTGGGTTGTCGAGACCGCCTCCTGCAAAAACACAAGTCGTAACTTAAATAAGATAATTCTAATAAGTCAGAAATTTTTCGTACAAGTTACATGGCATGGAAGATGGAGAAAAGGAAGAATATTAAAAAGAATATCAAAAAAAGATTTTAGGAGAATTATAAGAAAACAAAGTTAATAATATTAAAAAAATGAAAAAAAATTATTAAATTCAAACAAAAACATTTGTAATACTTTGTTCATGTAAAAATATTTTTTAGATAAGTCGGAAATAAATTAAAAATAATTAGTTTAATTTCACATCTCTTTAAATTTCTGAGCAATCGATTAAAAAACTTAACTCATTTTTTTTGTTAATTATACTATATGAGTAATTATAAATTATGGAGTAATATTGATAATTGAGTAATTATGCCTTTTTTAAGCAATGAAGTGAATCCAGGAAAAAACTCATCAGTTATGAAAACTCATCTGACTTACACAACGCCAGGTTTTTGCTTGGCCGGACTTTCTCGATTACTATCCACAATCGAGACGTTCTCCTTTGGTTTAACGAGCGCTGGCGATGACAATGAGGTTTTGACAGCTTGGCTTGCTGAACCAGGACTGTATTTTTCACGATTGATGGCTCGTCGATTCTTAAGGGCCGGTGCCCTGTACCTCATGCGCGCCTCTAATCGTTCCTTCGCCAGATTAGTCGCCGGGCTTATTGGTACCCGGGTGACTCTGTCCTTGCACCAGGCCACGTGACGATCGTAGGCCTTGATGCCGAATTGCCGATTGCACGTGGGACACATACCCTTCTCGTTGGCGCGTGTTGGCGCACCCGAGATCAGTGAATTGCATTGTTTACGTGAGTCCATCTAAAAAGCATAAAGCATAAAAATGCATGATAAGAAACGTATTTATAAATCGCAATATTTTATACAATAAATATTTAAAAACGCTTT